TTGAGTAGTTTTAAAAATACATCTTTACTTTAGGCGTACTCGTACCCCTAATAAATGATGTTCATTGGGAAAGCTCAAGAAAAGAGTATAGTATTCAGCATTTTCCAAACCCCATGATCATAGTGCCATTTTCTTTTCTTGGATGACCTTGAGCACCTAAGTGTTCTCTGGATGGCTCTGTCCAAGACCCTTATTCTGTAAAGAGGGATCTAGAATTTCTCAAGATCACATAGCGATTTAGTGGTAGACATATGACTAGAACACAAATATTTCCCATTCATAGTCCAGTGCGGAATCCTCAATAAAATGCAGAATCCTTGATTTGAGTGTTTTGTTAGAAATGACTGGTTACTAATTAAATCCTCTTTATTTCAAAGCAAGGGAAATGAGTGGTACTGTACATCCGAATGTTAATCTGTAAAACAAGGGTAACGCCCAAGGCTTTCTTTTGAAGTTTTGGTGACTGACAGTTTTAGGGTGAAATGTCTTCTTGAGGAAGATTTTTCTCTTTCAAGCTTTTTCTTAAGGTGTTCTAGGCCTTACGCTACCAACAAAAACAATTTGTGGTTCATTTTGTTCCACATTAATAAATATCATGCCATATATTGATCTATGCCTTTTTATCGCTAGATAGACATAGATGTAAGTTTGCAAATTGGGATCATAGTATAATGGCTGTTTTTCATAGTAGGAATTCAATTCTACTTGATTAAACACAGAAAATAGAAACTATATAAATGAAGTAATCTTAAAACTTCAACTAAATATTGCTTCCCCAGAAGAAATATTAGATCTTACAGTCTATATCTTAAGAAAAATGTTCTAAAAAACCATGAAGAGTTGAAATTCTTAATTTTCAACTATATTTGTGATAGGTAGCCTCTAAACTGGTCCTCAATAACTTTATTTTTATACTGTCAAAAGTTTTTAGCATTTTTACATTTTCAAAGTTTGTATCATTTTACTTCTCTTCTATAATCATAATTTCCTTATGTGACTGGTGCCAGAAGTGTCTCTACTGTCTTTCCTTTGTGACTCTCTTTATGGGATGGCTCTTGTGCACTGACATACTTTCCATCATTCCAGAAGGTAGAGTAAAAGCAAACCTCTCAAAAACAAATGACACATGGATTTAAGTGCAGGGACAGTAGGAAACTGTTAATATTTACCAGGGAGGAGTCTGTTCTGCTTTTATCCATTTTGAAAGCAGAGAAACCCGTAGAACCAAGTAGGTGTTCACAACTCTAAAATGGAAGAAAGAACAGGCAGAGTTTGGGGACAGAAGAGAAATGGCATGTTAATGAGTGGCACCAGTAGACGGTAGAATTGATAATGAAAACCAAGGTAGTTTGTACTGCACTGTACGTCTGTGTGTTTAACCACCATTCCGTACTGCTTTCTGAGGGAATGAGAATAGTTGTTAGCATTAAGGCTCACCAATACAAGATGAGAATTGCCTTGGCTCAGTGTGACTGCTTGATGGTAGAGGAAATTTATACCCATTCCTCTCCATTCCAGGAAGTATCAAAAGTGTAGCTCGATAACAAAGACTTTACTTGTTACAGGGTGGCAATTACTGGAAAGGGAATAAACCACTTGCTAGGAGTAAATCTGCTAAGAGGTCCCATTCTAAGGAAACCACCCTTTTCACTGGTTCCATTTTCCCTCACACTTTTCAAATCCTGCTAGGCCTCACTGTGCATGTTAAAGGTTTTGTGATTCCAAATACTTCAGACACTCACAGGGTGGCTGATGCTCATTGCTCTCTTTCTTTACATGTCTTGGTTTGGTGCTCTTGACTCCTCACTTTCCTCCACTGCAAATATCCTCCTGCATAAGTTGGATGTTGTTCATAGTAATAACCTCTTACTTGTCCACACTGCCCTCAGCTCCTGGGATCCAACCCAACTCTCGAGAGCTGAGATAGATTTACCCACCTGCTGCTTTGGGCACAGGGTTTTCATCTGCCACTACTGGGCAGAGCCCTCCTGGTTTTAGCTGTCTTATGGGCTTACCAATATGAAGTAGATGTCTAGTTTAAATCAAATTTGATGAATATGAATACAGGAGATTGGTTGGACTTTTCATAATTTAGGAAAATGGAGCCATCTTGAACTCAGTTGAAATTTGGCCCATATAAGATGAAAGTGAAGAAACAAGCATCTTGTTGAAGTTTCGAGTGCACTTAGAACATTCATCTGGTCATAATGTATATATAGTGTGTAAAAGTGGCATCATATAATAATGTAAACATGGTGTTTCTGATCAAAATGGAAATACAGCTCAAATTAAAAATTCTGACACAGGCACTTTTCCCACACAAATTTCCAAACTTGTCTTCAAGTTTTAAATTTTAGAGAATATTTTTGTATATATTTGAATGCTATTTTCTGGTAACTTTTTTGAGTCATTAATGACTCATTGAACATGAATCATAATAATCTTCTTTTCTATTTATGGTGGCATTTAATGTTTGTTCCTTACTCTCAATATTGCTTTTGAAATTACTGTAATACAGTTCATATAAAAATCCCCAAGAGATGAGCTAGATTTTTTTTTCTATTTCCTGTTGCTTATAATAACTGTTACCAGTTTCTTACATTTGTATAGTGCTGTAAAGAATATTCACATATGCTATCTCCTTTGATTATTACTGCAAAATGTCAAGGAAAGTATGTCAGATATTCTTATTCTCATTTCACAGATGAGGAATTGAGCCTCCGAGAAATCATACTGTTCAGAAAACTTTTAGTTGCCAATCTAGCAGATACCCTCATATGCTGTAGAGGAATTTGTTGGCTTAGGTATCTGGGAACGATGGGCATAGCTATATGCCTTGGGATCTGGTGGGTCAGGGATTCATGTACCAACTGTACTCTTTTTTTCCCTTGATCTCTTCCTTGCTCTTCCTTCCAGGTCCTATTATAGCTTTATTCTGCATATTGTCCTTTTTCTCTCAGATTCTTCCACTTGACTGGGGACATGGTCACTGGCAGGCATGGAGGTTATATCCTTGCTTTTTTAAAAGGGGAAGAGAAAAACTCTCCCTGTCCTGTTCAATATGAACTCTAGACAACAGAATCTCAATGGCCATTTGGGGGGAACAAAACCTGTACCTAAAGGAGACGCAGAATTGTGATTTGCCTGCTCTAGGTCAAATAGGCATCAATGTGGCGGGGGGAAAGGGTTTGTATTTGGAAGAAGGAAAGAAGCTGAAGTACAAAGACAAAATTACGGAAACCACAGAGATTAAGTAACAGTTAAAGGTATTCTAATGTTTGGTCAAGTTCTTTTCACCGTATCATGCTGTTTTTATCTCTAGAATATTTGATCTTGGTAGGAATTCTGTTCAGAAGTACACAAAGGTCTCATTTAATTTTTTTTTTTTTTTTAGTGTAACTGGTGACTTGTATCTTTTTTTTTTAATTTTTAATTTTGAAATGATTATAGAGTCTTAGGAAATTAAAAAAAAATAGTGTAGTGAAGGCTCTTTGCCTTCTACCCCACCTCTCTCAATGCTAACATCTTATATAACCATAGTACAATATCAAACTGCAATATTGATAATGGTATAGTCCAAAGAGATTATTCCGACGTCATCAGATTTATATGCATTTGTGTGTTTGTGCAATTTATTCATGTAACCAGCACCACAATCAAGGTACAGAAATGTTCATTCAACAGAAATATTTCCCTAGTGTTAACCATTTATATTCATATCCACACTCCTTTACCCCATCACTAACTGTTGACACCACTAATGTCATCTGATTTCTGTATTTTTGTTATTCCAAGCACAGTATATAAATGAACATAAATTATGTGACCTTTTGAGTTTGGCTTTTTGCAGTCAGTATATCTTTAAGGCTCATTGAAGTTGCTGAGTATATCAATATTTTGTTCCTTTCTATGGCTCTGTAATATTCCATAGTATGGATATGCCATATTTTGTTTTATCATTCAGCTGCTGAAAGACATCTGGACTTTGTTTCCAGTTTTTAGCTGTTAAAAACAAATGTCTTAAAATCATTTTTATATGCATTTTCTTTCTTTCTTCTTTTTTAACTTAATATGAGGATACAAATTGTTAGGCTACATTGTTCTCACTTCAAAGGTAAAGTTCAAGTTGTAGTTGAGTATTCACCTGGGCAGTGGGTGCTAAACACCCTCACATTGTGTACATTAGGTGAGATCTCGCTAATTGCACTCCCTTCTCCCTCCAATTGCCCTCCCCTTTCCCCCACCACTCTCTCTCCTCTTCCCTCCCCTTCGCTAGGTTATAATTGTATTTTATTGTTTGCGTGGATGTGAACTTGTTCATATATTGGTTTTACATTAGTATTGAGTACATTAGATACTTACTTTTCTATTCTTGTGATACCTTACAAGAAGAATGTGTTTCAACTCCATCCAGGTAAATGTAAAATACATAAAGTCTCCATCTTTTTTTTTTTTTTTTGAGACAGAGCCTCAAGCTGCCCCCCGGGTAGAGTGCCGTGGCATTACAGCTCACAGCAACCTCCAACTCCTGGGCTCAAGCGAGTCTCCTGCCTCTGCCTCCCAAGCAGCTGGGACCACAGGCGCCCGCCACAACGCCCGGCTGTTTTTTGGTTGTAGCCGTCATTGTTGTTTTGGCGGGTCCGGGCTGGGGATTCGAATCCGCCACCTTAGGTGTACGTGGCTGGCGCCTTAGCCGGTTGAGCTATAGGTGCCGAGCCTCCATCTTTTTTTTTATTTTTATTTTTTTTTGAGACAGAGTCTCACTGTGACGCCTTTGGTAGGGTGCTGTAGCATCACAGCTCACAGAAACCTCCAACTCTTGGGCTTAAGTGATTCTCTTACCTCAGCCTCCCAAGTAGCTGGGACTTCAGGCGCCTGTCGCAGCGCGTGGCTATTTCTTTAAATTTTTTATTTGCATATGCAACAGAAGGTGGAGCTTCCCGGTGACGTCATGTATCAATGACCAACTGAAGTACTCTGCTGACAGAAAAATAACCAGTGCTCTGGTAGCACAATTGGTTAGCGCATGGTACTAATATGATACTGCTTGGTGGAGCAATACCATGGTTGTGAGTTCAATCCTCACCTGGAGCACTTTGTTTTTTTGTTGTTGTTTGCTTGTTTTTTGAGATAAGAGTCTCACTATGTCACTCTCAGTAGACTGATGTGGTGTCACAGCTCACAGCAACCTCAAACTCTTGGGTTTAAGTGATTCTCTTGCCTCAGCCTCCCAAGTAGTGGGGGCAACAGGTGCCCAGCCACAACGCCCTGATATTTTTTGTTGCAGTTGTCATTGTTTAGCTGGCCTGGGCTGGGTTCCAAGCTGCCCCGCTCCGTGTATGTGGCTGGTGCCATAACCACTGTACTACAGGTGCCAAGGCAAGTCTCCATCTTTTTAATGGCTGAATAGTACTCCATGGTATACATATGTCACAGTTTGTTGATCCAAAGGATGATGGGAATTTAGGTTGCTTCCATGATTTAGTAATTATGAATTGAGCTGCAGTAAACATTTTGGTATATGCGTTTTAAATAGACACGAATTTTTATTTGTTGTAGTAAGTGACCAAGAGTGTAATTGTTGGGTCATGTGATAAACATATCTTTAGTTTTGTAAGAGACTACTAAACCTTTTCTAGAGTGGCTGTATCATTCTTTTCTCCCTTATCAGACATATGTAAGTATTCTATTTTTTTCCACATTGTTGCCGGCATTTGGCATTGTTACTATTTTTTTTTTTTACCATTCTGAAAGTGTACAGTGATAGCTCATAGTGATTTTAGTTCTATTTCCCTAATGATGTTGAATATCTTTTCATGTGCTTATTTGTCATTGTTATCCTCTTTAGTAAAACGCCTGCTCTTGACTTATGTCCATTTTCTACATGCATTTATTTAATGTTGAATTTGGTGAGTTCTTTATATATTCTAGGAATGTATCATATCTGTATTTGTGGCTTGAAAATATTTTTCCCAGTATTTAGCTTGTATTTTCATCTTTTAATGTTGTAGAGAAAATATTTTTTAATTTTGATACAGTCTTATATGTGTATATCTACTTTTTTTTCTTTTATTGATCATGCTTTTGGTGGCATATGTAAGAACTCTTCATATATCCCTAGGTCCTGAAGATTTTCTCCTATGTCTTCTAAAAGTTTTACAGCTTTGCATTTTACATTAGGTCTGTGTTCCATTTGGAATTAATTTTCTATAAGGTGTGAGGTTTAGATGGAGGTTCTTTTTTTGCCTATAGATTTCTATTAACTTATAATTCATAGAGACAATGGGTTTTATATTTACACATTTTATATTCTTTTATATTTATAAATTTATATTCTCAATATAATTTCCCAGAAACTATTTGTGCAAACATAGTTGTCAATGATTTTAGAATCTTATTGGCACTCAAAACAGTGCTAGGCTTGAGATAGGAGCTTATTCAAAGCTTAGTTAAGGAGGCAGAAAGTCTTGAGTTCTAATCCTCCACTTACTTAGAGGATTTCAGGCAAGTCACTTTGACTCTTGGCTTCTTCATATAAGAAATTAGATAAAATCTGTTTGTCTCTCTCATAGAACATCAAATAAAATAATATATGTATACACAAGTTGCTTTAAATTATTACACACTTTTTATTTCATTTTAATTAGATATTTTTTAAACTATAAGATACTTTAACATCTCTGAGAAACCAGGGATTCTCTTGGTTACAAATATCTAACTTACATATGTCTCACCCTTACAAATGGAGGCTATTACAGTAAGTCCCCAAGTTACAAATATCCAACTGATGTACGGCTCATGCTTAAAAATGGAGGTTATTACAGGTAATAGGTAAATGTACCTGTTCTAAGTTATATACAAATTCCACTTAAGAAAAATAGTACAGAACCTATCTTGTTCATAACCCAGGGGCTGCCTTACTAAATTTTATTGGTAAATAACAGCATAGTGCTATAACCCAAATGTTTGTATCTGCCTTCTTTGCTTCCTTCATCTTCAGAGAGGCAGCATTTACTTGTGTACAGGAGCAATCAGAGGTTTGATTGTGTTCTTTTTTTCCTTCCACCTTTTATGACTTTCTGAGATTGCTGCCTGAAAATGACTACCTGGAACTTTTCATTCACTCAGTAAGCTGGTGTCTGCTCCAGTGAAATCCGGAAGATGGGATTGGAGAGTCCGACTTTCAATTTTCCACAGTGCTCCTTCAATATAACTCCAAGACTAATTCACCTTACGATACAGGTCTGAAAGTCTGGGATGCTACCATAGAAATTTCAGTATTAATTGGATAAGTCTTTCATAACGTCCTGCAAAGTACAAACATTCCTTTCCATTTTCCATGAAGAGTCGATCTTGAATCAGCTTATGGATCCTTTAGCCTTTCTCTGTGATCCTCTGTTCTTTCTATAAACTTTGTCTTTATTCCCCCAAAGTCTTGAATTCATCTACGAGGGGAAGCACCATTTTTTTTTTTTTTACACTTTTTGGCCTGGGCTGGGTTTGACCCTCCATCTCTGGCATATGGGGCCGGTGCCCTACTCCTTTGAACCACAGGCGCTGCCCATATTTTTGAGGTTCTGTAAGAACTCTTCAAGAACTACCCCGACCAAATTCCTCAAAAAGTGCCCTCAACGCTTTCTATCCTCGTATCAATACTTCATCTTATTTTTTTCTGAATACTGATCATTATCTGGTAGTTTGGTTTATATGCTAAAAAATTCTTGTCTCTGTTTTCTACTCAAAGCTCCTCTTTTCTTACAAAAAATATGGAGAAAAGAAAACAAAAGAGGTGAGGAGGAAGGAAAATCCTGTACTACCAAGAGACCCATTCAGAGGAAATTAAATGGAAGGCAAGGGCACTGTGATCAGGAGACTTGGATATAATAATGAGATAACAGATTTCTATCCTTGCTAAGCAAGACAGCTGTGAACATAATAAACAAATATAAAACTGTGCAGCAGAAAATTATTATAAGTAATTAGTGGTGAATGGTTTATTAGTCAGGGAAATAGACAAATGAAAGAGAAATTTGAGGGTATTGTCTGGGAAGTACAGATAGATACCAAATCTATCTTTGGCCTTTGTGGTCAGGTCTTAGAACCTGCCACTGAAGGAGGGCTGGGTTTGTGAAAGCAAAATTTCGTTCCTTTCATAAAGATGCATTGACATTTCTCCTAAGTGCTTTCACTGTGTGTTAATGACAATGATACCAGTAATAATAATGATTGCAAAGGCTAATCGTGACTATTTTCTGTGTGCCAAACACTGTGCTAAGTGCATGATGTGTATTATTTGGATTGATCCTCACCGTAGCTCTGAGGGAAGAAGTTTTATGATTTCTTTTTTACAGTTTAGGAAACTCAAGCAAATCAACTTACCAGAGATAATATTCAGGTTCCTTCCAGCTGGTTAGGTTCGTTGCATTTTATTTTGGTTGGAAAGATGTAATGCATTTTATATTTCGAAGGATGAGACTGTGACTTTGAATGTATGAAATAAAGCTCTTAAATCATAACAAATTCTGTAAGTTCAAGATAATAGGGCATACTTTGCCAGGGACCAAGTCCCTCCAGTGAGGAGGGGGGTATCTCTGGAGGGGCATCAGCATTTCAAGGCCACTAGAAATCTTACAGAGTAAGAAGGTTTCCTCTCTTACCTCTTTGTTTGTTAGGTGTCTTGCCATTTCTGACATGATATCCCGAATTCATTTCAAAGCGGGGTCACTAAGAAAGCTGGCACAGCGTAAGTGGTCTTGCAGCAGTGTGTGTGAGTCCCCGCTTTGCAGTCAGACTTCATTTCCTTATTCATGCAACCAATATGTATGAAATGCTTGCTTTGTGCTAGGCATTCTCCCAGGTGCTGGGAATACAACTGCAAACCGGATGGACAAGGCCCCGCCTCTCATAGAACTTAAGGTCCAATGAGGGAAAAGAGAAAAGGAAGTTGTGTTTGGATAAAGGGAAAGAAATGACCTTTCAGAGTCAATGATATTTAAGCTGAGCCTAAAGAATGATAAAGGAAGAAAGTTGGAGTGTTCTTCAAAGAGATAAGGTGTTGCTGTTTGAAGCAGTGGTGTCACCCCGATAGGAAAGAAGCCTGAGTTCCTTAGTGTGGGATATAGATGTGTTGACAATCAGATTCCAGCTTGCCTACATCTGAAACTTTGTTCCAATCAGTCTTTCCGATGCACGGTGTTTTGTGCTTCTTTGCCATTCTACAGATTGTCCCTATGACCCTGAATTCCTTTCCCAAATTTGTTGCCCAGTAAACTACCATTGCTCCTTCTAGACAAAGATCAAGGGGTAGCTTATCTTACTTTCTTGGGTAGAACTTACCACATCCCTTTTTGTCACCATATTATGTTTGGTAGCTAGAGCTATTTTAGCTCACATATCATACTCTGGTGTATTTACGTATTGTCATGTCAGATTTATGTTCGGAAGTCTGGCTTTGCTGCTTAGCTTGTGTGATCATCAGCTTCCTTAGTGGTAAAGTCAAGTGGAAGGGTATCTCAACAAATTCTAGCCATTATGATTCTAAGGAATACTGATCATCTATTACAGTCTCCAGGGCTTCCTTCACATATCCTTACAATGTAAGAGCTGAACAATAGCTTAGATTGCTTCTCTTATAAGCCAGAATAGGAAACTGGAAGGGGCCATTTTAGTGGTTTTCAAACTGTGCTTATAGAAGTTTCAGGCGTCTCTCAGAGCGGTTTCTGGGGCTACATTGGCAGGTATTTGGGCTACTATGTTGCTTTAGTCAGAGCACCTGTCTGTGTGATTTTAATATCATCTATTAACTGTGTTTTTTATAAGATTACATTTGCATGTTTTTTTTTTTATTTTAACTTTTTGTAAAACTTTGGAAGTCATTCATGTCACCCAACACATCACGGTGCAGAACTCTAAATTTCTCTAGGGAACAGAACTAGTTAGTAGTAAATCTAAGTCTCTTGTCTCTCAGTGAAATGCTTCATAAATCCTTTCAGATAGGACTGAAATGCACGTTTTGGAGATTCCAGATACTACTTTGTATCCAGTGATCGGGCAAAACCTGGTATAGACTTCAGCAGAACCCTGAGACGTCAGGA